AGCACCAAATGTAAATCACCTGAGGGTCTCCACATATATACAGACATATACACACAGATATGAATAGGGTTTGTTACATACATATATGTGTACCATGAGTGTGTATTTATATTTACATAAATCGAAGAAACAAAATCACATTTTCTAAGGCCACACTCACGAGACATTTTTAAACTGAAGAAGATAAAAAAAATGCAATTGCAATAATAACAGCAAGCAGATTCTAAGTTCTAGGAGGGTAAATATTTTTGTGGATTTTGTATCTTCTCAGCGCCTAGTATTGTACACAGGACATGTAGGCCTGCAGCAAATCTTTACTTAATGAGTGACTAAAATTGCTTCAGAAAGCTTCATATGTGTCAAGCTCTACTTTCAATGGTTTACCTTCATTATTTCACTTAATCATCACTTCACAAACTAGGTACTATTACAAAGCCCATTTACAGACCAGGGTACCTGGCAAAGGCCAGGTAAAGTACTTTCCTAGTATCATATAGCTACCAACTGTGGTGCAGAAATGATAAATTTAAAATCTGAGTACTAATAGTAAAAATAAAGCTTTAAAACATCACTATGATCTATTCGGTCAATCCATCTCCCTAGTAAAGGTAAAATATCTATCGGAAACTTGTCTAAGAACTGTGCATTGCACTTCTGAGAGATGGACACCCTCGGAAACCCCAGAGCCCCTGCCTTAGAGTTGATTCCAACTCATGGGGATCCACCCTCCATCTGGTTTCTGAGGCTGTAAATCTTTACAGGAGGAGACTGCTTCTCTTTCTCCTGTGGAGCAGCTGGTGGGTTCAAACCGCCAACCTTTTTGGTTACCAGCCCAACACGTAACACACTACGTTAAGCTCAAGGGAGACCTGGTGATGAAGCGGATATGTGGTTAGCTGCTAAATGAAAGGCCAGTGGCTGGAATCCATTGTCTATTTTCATGAGAAGAGGTGGCCACCTCCTGCAAAGGTGACAGGCTTAGAAACCTGCTGAGCAGCTGTACCCTGTTATGTAAGATCACTGAATGCGTAATGAGTGAGGGGTTCCCCCCCCTTGGGTTTAGTTAAACTCAAATCACCAGGTATTTGTTGAGCATCTACTATGTCCCTAGCTAGTTTAGTACTTCAGGAATATAAAATATAGTCCTTATATAGTCAAGAAGTCTGTATTTCTTAGATTACTAATTATACTTTCCAGAAAGGACCTTGCTGCATGCTATGTATTTCTATGCCAGGACAGAAAAGCTGAACAAAAGTGAAAAAATTTTACCTGGTTCAGTAAGTAAAGAATCTTGGTAAGAATATGCAAACATCTTCGTGGATTGATGGGAGTTTCATTGAATATCCGAGCCTAGGGAAACATTAATATGTAGCATATTTCCACCTTTCTTTATGCAAAATTATAGCATAATGAATACTATAATAAAGTTTAATCTCTATACCAATAGCATTAGTTTTTCAATCTGTTATGCGATATGATAAAATTGTGAACTTAGATGTGACTTTATAACTCCTTCCCTTTAAGTGTATTGATTCAACTTTCTAAGCTTTAAAGACCACAGTGTTTTTACAACAATCACAATGTTTAAGGCTCCAGGTACACATCCTATCAACATAGGGAGCTTTACAGCTGTAACTTCCTTCACTAACCTCACACTAACTGCCTCTTCTGACATTTCCCTTTCCTAACGGGTAGCAAAGCCGAATCAAAAGCTCCAAGTCTCCCAGGGCAAATTAACCCCTCAGGCTTTCCCCTCAAGTCTACACCCGCTGAAAGCCTGCACCCCCTGAATTCGGTTGCATTCCTCAGCTCTGACTCACTCTGATGCCCTGTGCACAGCCGCCTGGGGGGCTTCTCTGCCTGCCACACTGAAATAGAAAAGCAAGGAGCACAATTTTCTTGCAAAGCCATACCTCCTGTAAGACGGCACTCTTCTCCAGATGCTGGAAGGGGTTGGAGCCACTACCTACATCATAAAACAAAAGATGTCTGTAATAGCTGTCTTGCACCAGCATAGTGACTCTCACCACAGGGTACTGAATGCTTGAGAAATCTCACTTAAGTGAGGTGACCGCTTGGAAAAATCAGTGATTGAGGGGAGAAAAAAAAAAAAAACAAACCACACAACAAACCCAGCCCACTGCCCTCCAGTAGATTTCTAACTCAGAGAGACCCTGGGGGACACAAGAGAACCGCCCCGTTGGGTTCCCACGGATGTAATCTTCAGGGAGGCCGACTGACTCATCTTTCCCCGGGCTGATGGGTTCCAAGTGCACAGCATTCGCCTGGCAGGCGCGTGCTTTAACCAGGGCACTACCAGTGCTCCTATCGCTGGGCTAATGGCCTCTAAATAGGTCCGTAACTACAATAAAAGTCTGCATTCTGGCAGCAGCTCTGTCACTGCTATCCTGAAAGCTCCTGGACTTCCTTTGGCTGGAACCCTGCTGAAATGGGGAGGCGGGGGAGTCCTCTCCCTGCCCTTTCTACAAGCATATTACAAATTATCTGTCATTCCCACGGCAATTAAGGTTAATGAGATTATGGCAGGGCACGCTGATGTCTCTGAAGGCAAGCACTGTTTTCTGTGTTTAGACACGTTCTCTGAGAGGCTGAAACGAAGACTTTTTTGCAGAGAACCACTGAACTTAGACGCAGGGGGCAGGGCCCACTGGGGTGTGTGTGTGAACTGCCCCCTGCCTCCCCCGGGCTTTGGGGGTGGTGGGGCACGTGTCGGAGGTTCGACCTCTTCCCCCCTTTCCACTGCATCGGACGCGGGAATCTGTCCTGTATGCCACCATGCCGAGAAGAACGGGGCTCAAGTCCCAGGGCAGACTCCAGGGCAGAAGGCACCTCAACTTTGCACGCCTAGCACACACGCCGCTCCCGTCGACCCAGGGCCCCTCGCGGGATGCTGCTCCCCCTCAGCAGGGTGCTCCCCCTTTCTAGAGTGCTCCCCCTCTGCAGAGTACTCCCCCCTTGCAGGATGCTCCCCCTTTCTAGAGTGCTCCCCCTTTCTAGGGTGCTGCCGCACTGCAGGGTGCTCCCCCTTTCTAGAGTGCTCCCCTTTCTAGGGTGCTCCCCCTTTCTAGAGTGCTCCCCTTTCTAGGGTGCTCCCCTTTCTAGGGTGCTCCCCCTCTGTAGGGTGCTCCTCCGCGCGGGGGGCCCAGCACCACCAGCACCCCCGCCTGCGACGCGCGCACTCACGCCTTGCACCTGCCATGGGCCCGCCTCCTCCTGCGGCCCCTGCAGCAGCAGCTCTGAGGGGCGACGCCGGAGGGGGCGCCAGGGGGCGGGGCGGCGGGGCGGGGCTGGTGTGTGTGTGTGTGTGTGTGTGTGTGTGTGTGTGTGTGTACACATTTTACTTTGCAGCCGGGTTTGCGGGTTTGCAAGCTCAGCAGAGAGCCCAGGCCCGGCCACGTGGGCGGAGGAGGGGGCGGGGCGGCGGGGCTGGAAACCCGGGGCTCCCCGCTCCCTACGGCCGAGGGCAGGGGGCCCACGGTAGGCGTCCTGTGCGCCCCTCACCTGGACGCGCAGGTGCCGGCACAGCGGGGACGGGCACGGGGTGAGGGCGGGGCGTCCCAGAAGGGGGCGTGGCACCCGGGAGGGGGCGGGGGTGTCCCCCGGAGGGCGTGGCCTCGGCCCGGATGCGGCCCCGCCCCCGCCGCGCGGAACCGGAAGTGGGTCTGGGCCCGGCGCTGCGGGCCGGAGGGGAGCCAGACGGAGGGAGTCGAGAGACCGTGAGGGGTGAGCGTGGCCGCCGGCGGAAGGCGGGGGCCGGGACCGCAGGGCCAGTGCTTCCCCTCGCAGCCGGCCGCAGGCCCGGGACGGGAAGGAAGCGGTGGTGGCCGCGGTCTGTCCCTCTTCCGCTCGCGGTTTCGGGTGGGGGGTGGGGAGGCCGGCTTCCCGGGCCCGCGGGCCTCCGAAGGGGGGCAGGGCTGAGGGACAGAGGGGTCCGATGGCCATTTCCGAGAAATCGGGGGCTCCGGGGTGGGGAAGGAGCATGGGAGGGAGAGGGGGGCCAAGGGGACAGGGTGGGGGGAGGTAAGAGGGGCAAACGGGGACCCTCTAGACGGGCCTGGGCCGCAGGGTGCTGACCGGATGGGTGGCCAGGGTCGCAGGATTGGGGGTTCGGGCTGAGATGACGCTGAGGTCAGAGGGTGGGGAGTTGGGGGAACTCGGTGGCATGGGACAGGGGTCCGGGGGGTGCAGGACTGGGCTGCACGGGGTAGGGTCGCACGAACGGGGATTTAAGGTGGTCGAGCTAAATGGGATGGGGGCCGGGGTCGGAGGGTGGGGCCTGGGGTCAGAGAATGGGGGGTTGTGGTCGGGCGTGGGGGCCCGAGGTCGGAGGACGGGGCGGAGGTCGGAGGACGGGGCCGAGGTCGGAGGACGGGGCCG